CGCGGTATGTGGGATCTTCCCGGACCGGGGCACGAACCGGTGTCCCCTGCATCGGCAGGCGGACTCCCAACCACTGCGCCACCAGGGAAGCCCCTATAAGGCTTTTGAGAGTGGAATCTAGAGTCTTTTGCATCCCCTTGCACACCATTTCCCAAAATGTACCTCTGGTTCATGATTTTAGATGGCATACGGGTGAACGTTATTATTTTTTTTTTTTAAATTTCAAGACTGGTATAAATTATCCAGGGCTTCACAAATGCTATTGTTTGGGACGAGTAAAAAGCACTTAAGTGGATAGATGTTCAACATCACCAGTCATTAGGGAAATGCAAATCAAAACCACGTAAGAGGGGCTTCCCTGGTGGCACAGTGGTTGGGAGTCCGCCTGCTGATGCAGGGGACGCGGGTTCGTGCCCCGGTCCGGGAGGATCCCACATGCCGCGGAGCGGCTGGGCCCGTGAGCCATGGCCACTGAGCCTGCGCGTCCGAAGCCTGTGCTCCGCAACGGGAGAGGCCACAACAGTGAGAGGCCCGCATACCGCAAAAAAAAAAAAAAAAAAAAGGAATGAAGTTCTGACACATGCTACAACATGGATGAACCTGAAAACAGTATGCTAAGTGAAATAGACCAGTCGCAAAAGGATATACACGACTCTACTTATGTGAAGTGTCTAGAATAAATTCATGGACCCAGAAAGTAGACTAGTGGTTGCCAGGGGTTGTGGGGAGGAGGAATGGGGAGTTAGTGTTTAATGAGTTTCAGTTCGAAAAGATGAAAAAGTTGTGGAAATGGATGGTGGTGATGGTTGCCCAACAATGTGAATGTACGTAATGCCACTGAACTTTATACTTAAAACTGGTTGAAACGATAAGTTTTATGTTATGTATATTTTACTGCAATACACAAATGAGTTGATGTAAAGAAAACAATTAGGCACAGGTGATGTGGCCCTTATAAGGTAGAGTGTGAATGCCCAACTTTGGAAAACACGGTCCAGCCTTGCCCACAGTGTGGTTAGGGATTACAGGAGTTGCATGCAAATGAGAAGCCTTCTTTCAATACTCTTGTTTTTTTTGTTTAAAAATTTTTTTCCATTTCTGGGCTAAAAAATGTTTTACACTACTTTGTGGTCAATAGGAAGGTAGAAAGAGAAGAAATGTGACATTTGTTGAGAAACTTTTTGTGCTAGTGTTTTATTTTGTTCATTTCATTCTAACAACACTGCGGTGTAGGGACTAACCCGGTTCAAACTGGGAAACTGGGCCCCACTGCCAGTAAGTGGACAGAACAGCCCTCCCCACTGGGCGGCCCACCCTCACGCTCTGAGCTCTCTGGGGTATCCCTCACTGCTTCCCTGCCTATCCCATTTTCACCTTCTGTCATAGGACATTGAAAAAAAAATTCCACTCATTTGGAATTTTCCATCTGCAGGGCATTAATTTGGAAAAACATGAATTGTGGATCCAGCAGTACATAAATAACAGGAGCAAATCGTGTCCCTCACAGCAGAACACACACACTAAAGCCAGAAACAAAACTGGGCACCACTCTGAGCTCTTGGCGCTTCCAGATTCCTCAGTTTTAAGCCTGTTGTAGTCATCTCATTCCATATGAAAACAAATATACGCCCTCACCGTGAAAAACAGAGAAGTGCAGAGGAAAAAATCCCACCACCTGGAAATAACCACAGTTCACACATTGGTCAACGTACTTCCCACTTTTACTGGGCAGACCAGATACATATTTTCAAAATGGGCTTTACAATGTATAGTTTTATCACCTGGCTTACAACTAAATATATTGTGAACATTTTCTCTTTTACCACTGTTAAAATAATTGCATAGTGTGGAGAAATCATAATGTATTAAGCACTCTTAATACATTGAGGGAATTTAGATATAATTTTTTTTCAAGGACTTTCTCTTTCCAAATCCTTGAGAAAACAGGTGTCCTCGTCTTATACAGCTTCCTACTGATGATAGAAACTTGCCCAACTTAGCTTTTTAATCTGCTTCTCTGTACCATCTGATCAAGTAATGCATTTTATTTTCTCAAATTTCTCATTTGCTCCCACTTTTCTACCTAGTCTCCCAGGGGTGCACACACATTTCCATTACTCCAGCATCCTGTCTCTCACCTCTGATGTCTGCCCCCTCCCTTCTCCTTTGCTCCCCTTACAAATGCTTCCTTTCCTTTCATTTTCAAGATACTTTTAAAAAAATTAATTTTATTTTGTTTATTTTTGGCTGCATTGGGTCTTTGTTGTGGTGCGCGGGCCTCTCATTGTGGTGGCTTCTCTTGTTGCGGAGCCTGGGTACTAGGCGTGCGGGCTTCAGTACTTGTGGCACCTGGGCTCAGTAGTTGTGGCGCACAGGCTTAGTTGCTCTGCGGCACGTGGGATCTTCCAGGACCAGGGCTTGAACCCGTGTCGCCTGCATTGGCAGGTGGATTCTTAACCACTGCGCCACCAGGGAAACCCTTAAGATACTATCTTAATTGATTCTGATCACAACTCTATTCAATGCTTTATGCTCAGTTCCACATTGGGAGTAACCTTTAATAATCTGAAGATAGAATTCAATTGTTTAAAAGAAACTATTAATAAGCCCTTGGTAGAGTTACATGTATCAAGAAACACAGGACTTGGGAACAATATATGGCTTTTTTTTTTTTAAGTAGTTTTTTGGAGAGGGCAGGGAAGAGGAAAGTAGGTGGTACTTTAAGGAAATGTTAGGGATCATAGGGAAATCTATTCACCATTTCAAGACTACTAACAAATGATCATCTCTCAGTTGGGACATTGGAGAGACAGTCTTTAAAGGTCATGAAACCTGTATGGCAAATGCTGCACACAAATGTGGGTTAATAATAACTTTGTATAGCAAGGCAGATGCCAGGTAGCATAAAAGCACATGCAGACAGCGCTAATTCTGGAGTCCCGGAAGCTGTGAGGTGCTCATCCATCACATGGCCATCTGGAAGGTAGAGACACTTGGTCATTAAAGGAAATCCCTCTGGCACTTTATCCTGTTGGCAAACACGTGGCACATCTACACGAACCCAAAAGCAGTTAGGGCCCAAGACTTGATGAGTACAATGTGCTTATGGGATCAACAGTACCGATTACGTGCAATTAGACTCCCCTGAGAAAATATTGCGACAAACTGTTAACTTGATCTTCCCTGGATACATGCTCTCACACCTGGTAACCTACCCCAGCCGGTGATGCCTATAATTGCTGGCGTGTGGCAGAACTTGGTTAGGCTCTGATGCCAAGGAGACAGCACATTTTGCGTCCCGAGTTCCAGGGAGAAAATTTGGTCCCCACCTATCCAGCCATTCCACCCACACCTTCCAGTCACCTATCCTGGGCCTGATACCCAATGCAAAAGGAAAAGACAATCCCTGTCTGGATTGGGGTCCCATGTTGTACTCAAGGAAGCATTTGTTTTCATTTTCAATTTATGGAACATTTTCAATTTCTGACACATGCAGGGTCAGAAGTAGGAGAGGTCTCTGAACTAAGGTGGCCCTAAAAATCTGGCTCAGGTTGGGGTAGGGAGCAAACCCTCTCCTCTTGTTCTCTTCTAGGTGCCTGCCCTTGTCATTGCTTTCCTCAAATCAGTAAAAATCAATGAGGTGAAAGGGTTATGAGACCAATCACCAGGGGGTGCCCTAGAGGGGCCTTTTAGGATCCCTGAAGAAGTTCCTAAGAAAGGAGAGTGGGGTCAGTTCCTCTGGTGGAATTTAAGGGCAATAATTGGAGTTGGGTGCCCCCGACCCTGCTGTGGAGTGGGCACTGAGCTGCCCCCCTGGAGCCTGTCTGGGTCTCCCTGCCCAAAGAAAGGAATGCCAGAGAGTGTCTCTTAGTGTTTAAGAGGCCAAGTCTTTTCTTGTTTATTTGCCTGTATAGAATTTCACATACTGTAGAACGTCAAATAGACTTGAAATAACTCTCCACCTGAAAGGCAGCACGACTGGCCACATATTGAGGAAGTAAATATCAAGGACACCAGGGCAACCATCCCATCTGGAGTCCTTGATGCTTTTACAGGGAGA